GTCCTCCCCAAACCTTCCCTCTCCTAGTACTTGGCACAACTCTATCCACCCAGTTACTAAATCCAGAAGCACAGTCATCCCTGACTCTTCTCATTTCCTTACTCCTCAGATTTAATCCAAGACCTAGTCTGATTCCAAATATATTTAGTATCCATCCACCCACAGCTCTCCACTTTTTTGTCACCACTCTGGTCCAGGCCATCTTCATCTCTCACTTAGACTACTGCCATGAACTCCTAACTTCTCTTTCCATTTTTATTCTTGTCCTTTTCAATTCATCCTTCACATACAAACATGAGTGGTCTTCTTACAAATCATATTACTCCCCTATTTGAAATTGTAGAAGGACCTCCTATTATACTCAAAATCAAATCCAAACTAATTTCCATGGCCTGTAAAGCTCTACATAATCTGGACCATGAGTATATTTCCTACCTTATTTCATGTCTCTATATTCCGGTATACTGTGCTAAGTCTCAAATAGGCACAAATCCACATTAACTCTCTTTCAGGCCCTTGTTTATCTCCTTCGTGATACTCATTACAGTGGGTTTAACCGTTCTTTTTTGTATTTACTTTTTTCTCTATTAGGCTCCCAACTCAAATACCTTTATCTCTATTAGCCTCCCAACTAAAAGATGTTTGTCTTTGCTTCCCACGGTTTTCCTCAAAACCTGGTAAAAAGACCTAGAATTTAAGATTTTTGCTCACTGACTGGATGAATGAACAGATATGAGCACTAGATGTCATTGCAAAATACTCTTCCCATGCAAAGAAAGTGCTAGAAGACATCATCAGCCAACAAATTCTCAAATTTCAATTCTCAAATTCTGTTACTGATTATACAAATAATGTAAACTATTAACAATAATACAAAAATAATGAAAGCATAGCCTACAAGAACACCTCCTTTTTAAAAAGTCTCACATATGCTGTAAAATATACACACAATTAAATGTATATATATTTATTTACTGAACCTTCATTAATACTGAGCAAACAACATGCACACTGATGTTTATAGCAACATTATCAACAACCAAATTATGGAAAGAGCCCAAATATCCATCAACTGATGAATGGATAAGGATGTGGTGCATAAACACACACACACACACACACACACACACACACACACAGAGAGGAATATTACTCAGCCATCAAAAAGAATGAAATGTTGCTGTTTGCAACAACATGGATGGAGCTAGAGTGTATTATGCTAAGTGAAATAAGTCAGTCAGAGAAAGACAAATACCATATGATTTCACTGTTGAACTTAAGAAACAAACAGATGAACAATGAGAAGGGGGAAAAAAGAGAGGGAAGCAAAATATAAGCAACTCTTAACTACAGAAAACAAACTGAAAGGTAACGGAAGGAGGGAGGCGGGAGATGGGCTAAGTGGGTGATGGGCAGTAGGAGGGCACTTATGATGAGCACTAAATGTAAGTGATAAATCACTAAATTCTACTCCTAAAACTAATATTACCCTATATGTTAACTAGAATTTAAATAAAAACTTGAAACAAAACAAAAATACTGAGTAAACAATGATCAAGTAAGCAGCAACAAAGGCATGCTTTCAAAGAGGGCTGGAAAGAGTTTTCTCTTAGCAACTGTACAGTAGGCTACAGAAGGATAACAGTGGTGACAGTCATTGTTAACTGTATGCCATTCTAAATGCTTTACTTAAATCTATTCATTTAACCCTAACAGTAACGGTACTGACTTCATTGTCTAGGAGGAAATTGAGATGGCAAGAGGTTAAGTAACCAGCCTAAGGGTTGCACAGTATTAAGAGCTGGAATTTGAAACAAGACAATCTAGTTTATTAGCCCTGGCTCTTAACACTATCTACCTAGTCCTTCCAAAAAAAATCTATAAAGACCAAGCTTCTTATTAAAGAACCTCAAGAACAAGAGAAAACATCATAGTGAACTACTGAAAAGATTATGTATTTCTGAATACTGACAAATTCTACCAACTACCATTAGACAAGCTGGCATAGGATTATTCAGTGGGTTGCCTTTGCTTAATTTAAAAATGCCTTAAAAATAAATAAAAGTGCCTTAATCTTTTATCTGACACAGAAAAGTATCTACTGCTCAAATTTCCAAAACCTTCAAGGTGCATAATATTTTCAAATGAGCTTTACAGAAGGTTTGCATAATATATAATATCAGTTTGGCAAACCCTATACAAAGTTGCTTTCCCAGAGTTTCTTGAAGCAATAAACACTTTAAAAGTTTACTCCTCAAAATATTTGCAAGTCTGTGAAAGCAGATTAATACAACAACAATCAAATCTGTTTCTGAGGTTAGTAAAGATTCTCTAATCTGGTGTTTATTTCTATACCAAAGACAGACAGATGTAGACACACACACACACACTCCAAAAAAGAGCCCTGGACAAAAGAGCAGTGATGATAAGTATCTGGCCCTATAATCTCCAAAAAAAAGGAGAGACTAAATAGGTTTTGTGGAATCTGCAGAAGCAAAAAGGTTCTCAACAAGACAAAGAATTAAGTATTCTACAGTGGCTATTTACCCAGAATAAAATCGAGAAATGACTTTACAGATTAATAGATAATTAATGCAACAATATTAAAATTACAAACAGTTGGGGGAATTTCTTTTTTTGGGGGGGGAATTTCTTTTAGCAGGAATAAAGAAATTAATGCAGTTGCCTCCTACTTACTACCAACAACATTCATTCAGTAGAAACATGTGTTACAAAGATACTCTCTTTTCCACTTGTTAGAAAGAAGACACCTTGATACCTGATAGTAATGAAGCACGAACTTAGAATAACAGTTCTGAAGAACAGAACTAATTTTCTTTTTTCTTTCCTTATTCCAGTCTACTACAAATTTTGCCATGCACAATGTTGTTTTCCTAGAATTTACAAGACTAAATCAGCAAAAAAGAGGGAAAAATGAAAACCTTTAGATCCCTTTAATACATAAAAGAAACCATTTTCATGCAGACCAGGAAATATTACCAAACCATAAAAAGATGCCTAGAGACAACCTTAGCAGAACAGAAAGAATACTTAGGACCTCATTTCCAGTTCAGGCTCTGGTACTACCTAAACCATATTATCTCAGGCAAGCCAATTACTGATTGTTTCTGGGGAAGATTATAACTATCTGTTCACAGAGGATGCTTCCAATTCTAAATATTGCTTTCAGTAAGTTTCAGGTAAAATGATAAAATTTTTTACTTAATAAAGTAAGTAAGGCTACTTTCTACCTTTAGTTAACTCTATGTAAACACCAAAAACTTAACCTTCTTCTGCACTTGTAAATTCTTAAGTGACAATACATGATGACCAACAAAGGTCAGATTTAAACTCCCAAATGCAAAACTATATTCATTTTCTAGTCACCTACTTATTAACCACAGTGACTAATTCAATGAGTTACAGTATCACACTACTCTTAGGTAGTTTTTATTGGGGTCAATAGTAGGGCAAAGATCATCTCAGAAGAGTGTATGATAATATTTTCAGATAAATAACACAATATAAAACATCAAATTGTGAAATGATACAAAGCAACAGAATTCTGCACCGATACATTTCCAGCTTTCAGAGTAAACTGACATTACCATATTTTCATTTATACAGTGACTTCCCATTTAGTATCTCACTTAATCATTATGACAATTCTATGAAATACGTGAGCAGTACTTTTATCATCACGATCCAGACCAGCTCAGAAAGTTAGGTAACCTACCAATCTTTATTCTGGAACGTAAACCACAGAAATTAAACTATATTAATCAAGTAGGATATATTCCTCAAAGCGGGGGGGAAGCTTTAGTGTTTTATAACACAGGCAAAGAAGTAAAATACAAACGATTTCCACTATAGAATCATTTCACACCCATACAAATTGGCCACATTTGTCTAGGTACTACCATCCCTCCTCCAAAGGTCAATAAAACCACATTCTAGAATGCATGAATGTTGCCTAATGAATAATTTCTTATCATCATTTATGCTAAAAATACACAACTAAAGATCATAGTTCATACTACACATAGGCAGTAGGAGTCAGAACATTTAATTCTCTATCATTACAACACCAGAAATACTTGTACAAGCTTCTCCAAAAGATCAGTGTAGTCTGTCTACAAAATTTCTGACATCAGCCCCAAAGGAGAATTGAAAGACATTAAAGTTAGGAAAAGGGGCTGTCTTGCCATGATAGATAAACAGTGCCAGAGCCTATATGAGATTATTTGCATAGATTTGCAGAAAAGCAAAAGATAATAGTTTAAACCTACTAGAAGTCATGAGGTAATCTCAGTGTGACACAGGGCCACATATGGCTTCTTGGAAGTTTAGAGATTAAGTTGATCTCCAGGTTGTTTTGCAAATACCTCCACTGCAAGAGAACAACAAAGGGGCGGGGAGTGGCCAAGGATTTGGAAGAGGTAGAGAACCCTACCCTTTAAAAATTAGTAGGAGATCCGTGAAGGTTCTTTGCAAAAGATCAAGGGCGGGAAGGCCCCATTCCCTTGGCCACCAACGCTTCAGATGGCACTCACACGCCTAAATTTTGTTTAGTAGCGAATACGTTTAGTGCCATGTGTTAGTGGTTGAGGAGGTCACACTGACAGGTCCTGAGAAACAGCTTGGTCATCAGCAGGGAGGATCTTCTCCATTTACTCTGAGGTCCTAGATACCCTCGGAGAAGAGATGGGTACTCTACAGAACGTTTAGGACAGCTTCCAAGTCTGCGACAATGACAGCGAACGGTAGGAAACCCAATGTATGGGTTCACTGTACTGGTAGCCAACCCTGAGGAGGTGTCCCAGATAACCTGACTACCGCCAGACAGACACTCCGAGTCACCAGCGCCCTAAAACACTGCCTGAAGTCGAAATCACGGTGCCCCAGATCCGCATAGTCTAAGTGGGAGAGCTCCGGAAGAAGCCAAGCTCTGAGGATAGTGTCAGGCTTCCGTCCCCAATTCCACGCGCTCGTATACCTACCTACCCGCGCTGACCCCGGCGTCTCCGGATCTCAGGATCCTGCAAGCGGCTGCCGACCGACTCTCACACCCGCCGCTGGGGTCCGGCCAACCGGAACTCGTACACGTCACTTCCGGTCCGTTCCCCACTCCCCCCCTTCAGCCCCCGCCCCCCGCCCCGGGGACCGCCTCCAAAAACACAAAAGTTCCCCCTCTCCTTTCGGCAACGTCCGCTGATCGTCGCGTGACTCCAATTCGGGTCTAGATTCGGGACCTGTGGGCGGGGCGAGAGAAAGAATGACTGTTCGCTTCGCCGTTCTTGATCCGGAACTTATTAGGGAGTCCCGGAAGAGGTAACTCGCGGGTTAGAAGCGTGTTCACTACCCGCAGGGCAAAACGCAGAGGCACGAGTGAGGCGCTGGGGAAGTTCGCTAGGTAAGTCGGCCCTTCACAGGGCTGAGGAGAGGGATGTCATTCTCCATTCTCTCTCCAGTTGGAATGTTTCTTCCCACCTCATTCCATACCTCCTCTCCCAGCCTTTCATCTCCATAAACTCTTCCGCCTAAGTGGACGCTGGAGCCCCTGTTCCTGTTCTGCCAGTCGTCCTTTGGAAGAAGGGACCAAGATCCTGGGAAGGAGAAGGACCCAGAATTTCTGGTTTCCAGGCAGAGCCTCCGGTCAGGCAGCATCGATGCGCTGGCTCTGAGTGTGAGAAAATACCGCGCAGGCCTTACATTCTGTTGACTACTTATTGAATACCCGCAGAGTATGAAGCTGTTGAGTCCTACGAGGAAAGAAAAGGTTTCCACGAATATGACCGAAAAATGGGTCTTTCCGCGTAACACAGACATAATGTTAAGAGAAGTATTTAGTCCTTTAACGTGGTACTCCCCAGATACCAGACGCTGAGAATATGATGTACATATGATGATTATGCGTAATTACTACAGCAGTTCTGTAGAGTAAATAATTAAGATTGATTGGGAGGTAAGAGACTTAAGAGACAGGTGTCCTTTGAATCAGCCTTCGTGGCTGAAGAGACTGTATTTGTGTATTTAAGTGGAGAAAAATAGAAAATTTTGTGGGAGAGATTGATTCCTGAAGGGATCTAGTAATTTGGTGTGGCTGGGTAGTACAGTATGTAGCAGGAGAGTAGATTAGAAGGATAAAGTAGTTTGTAACCAAATTGTGTGATGCTTTGAGTTTGTGCTAAGGGATTTGTTTTATACTTAAGGCGTTTATCTGGTGGTTTTTGATCTGGGAAACTACAGGATCAAATTTGTGTTTTAGAAATATAATATGGACTAGCCAGATGGACTAGGGTGAACTAGGACATGCATGAAGCAAATGTGGAAGGATCAGTTAGAGAAGTTAATTTTGGAGGCTTTGGGCCAAGAGTTCATTAGGGCAGTGATAGTAAAGGTAGAGAGATAGGTTTAGTACAGATAAATTCAACAAGGTTTGGTAACTGGATATGGTAGGACATAGGAGAAAAAGGCCAGGGTTACTCGGAAATCAAGAATACAGGGGATCCCTAGGTGGCTCAGCGATTTGGCGCCTGCCTTTGGCCTAGGGCACGATCCTGGAGCCCTGGAATCGAGTCCTGCGTCGGGCTCCTGGCATGGAGCCTGCTTCTCCCTCCCTCTGCCTCTCTCTCTCTCTCTCTTTCTGTGTCTATCATGAATAAATCTTTAAAAAAAAAAAAAGAAAGAAATCAAGAATACAGTAAAAGGAAATTTGAGAGGAAAAGGAAGATACTGAATTCAGTTTGGGACAGAGTAGAATAATTCATAGTACTTTAGCAGAAGCTCTAAATTTCAAGTTAGGAGCCCAGGAGAGGCCTTAGGAGCCCTATGACAGTTTGGAAATAAATGAGATTGTCTCTCTCCTCCTACTAGATGTCGGCTCCATAGCAGGACTTTGTTTTCTCCAGTGCTCTATCTTTAGGGTCCAGAACAGTGCCTGGTACACAAAAGACCCTCCATAAATATCAGTCAGTTCAATGGAAAGAGTATATAGACCATCACTGTCCAATAGAACTTGCATGGAAATGTTCTAAATCTTAACAGTGGGCGGCCCAGGTGGCTCAGCAGTTTAGCGCCACCTTCAGCCAGGGGCCTGATCCTGGAGACCCGGGATGGAGTCTCACGTCGTCGGGCTCCCTGTATGGAGCCTGCTTCTCCCTCTGCCTGTGTCTCTGCCTCTCTCTCTCTCTCTCTCTCTCTCTGTGTGTGTGTCTCTCTCTCATGAATAAAGAAATAAAATCTTTAAAAAAAAATCTTAATAGAGTGGCTGCTAGCCACTTTGAAGTTGTTGAGCTGTTGAGCACTTGAAATATGGCTCAGTGCAACTGAAGAGTTGAATTTTTATTTAGTTTTAATTAAGTTTAAATAACTGTTTGATGGCTACTATATCGGACATTGTAGGTATAGACTGAAGAGAGGGCTAAAGCACAGGGGTATTATGTTCATTGGGGACGAAGGGGACATAGAGCTAGAGGAGACTGAAAAAAGCTATGAGAAAGGTAGGATGATAATAGGGTGAAACTTGTGTGTATGGTTTTGTTTTTGGGTTTTTTTTTTTTTAAGATTTTATTTATTATTCATGAGAGACATACAGAGAGAGGCAGAGACATACTCGGAGAAGCAGGCTCCCTGTGGGGAGCCTGATGTGGGACTCTATCCCAGGACTCCAGGATCCCAACCTGAGCCAAAGGCGGACACTCAACACTGAGCCACCCAGGCATCCCAGTAGTTTTATTTTTGATATTTTCTTTTGTTTCTGGCATTATCTCTATACCTCTAAATTTCTCTGTCCTATTTATTTGTTTTGGTCTCTATTTTTCATGGAACTTGATCGCAGGACCCCAGGATCACAAGCTGAGCCAAAGGCAGACACTCAACCACTGAGGTACCCAGGTGCCCCAACAGGGTGGAAGATTAAAGAATTTTGGGAAGAAGAGTTAAAAAGAAGTTATCAACGAGTGGTGGGGAAAGCTTAAGATGAAGCCTAAAAGAGGCAACTACATTTGGCAATTAACAAGTGTCTAATTCCTTAGCAATTTCAGTTGAGTGGGGAAAGGAGGCAGGTAATTAAAGTTTAGAGGTAAACGGAAGAGGAAAAGTCAGGCAACGGTTTAAGAGTCAAAGAGGATTTGAGGAAGGTGTTTTTTTTTTTGGGGGGGGGGGGTTGGAAAGGCCAAGGTATGGCCGGTGGAGTGGAATTAATGGGTGGAACATGGTTCAGAATGGAATGGATCAAGAGCATTGGTGAAAGGGCCTTAATCTGGTAGAGGAATTAGAACCCACCAGGAGGAGGGTTTTATAGGACATGTTTGTTTTGCAGTGTCATCATTGCCCAGGATTATCCATGAGACTAAGAATAGTCCTATTTTCCGTAGTCTTAAGCACTGGGTTTATTGATATGTTGTATTGGATATGCAGAAAGGGGGACAGGCTGAAACACCTTTTGGAGGAGTTACATGATAATGTGATCAAGGGGACGCCTGGGTGGCTCAGCAGTTTGGCGCCTGCCTTCCACCCAGGGCGTGATCCTGGAGTTCTGGGATCGAGTTCTGCATCCTCTGCATGGAGGCTGCTTCTCCCTCTGCTCCTGTCTCTGCCTCTCTCGATCTCTCTCTCTCTCATATGAATAAATAAATAAAATCTTTTTAAAAAATGTGATTAGGCTGGTAGGAGATTAGAATATCCTAAGGATGTTAATATTAACATGTTAGAATTGGAGTTCTCATGAGATACGGTACAAAAGCAGTAAGCTTAGTAATCTCTGGAACTTTTTTTTGGTGGGGGGTGCTGACTCTTACTGGTACATATCTTTTTAGATACAGTTGAGAAGATGAGAAATTTTCTGTCATGACCTCTGGATGAGTATATTTTATACTACTTTTATTAATTATGCTACTGGGGATAAGTAGCTTCTCTGTTGGATCTTTAGTTTTCTTGTCTTTAATGTGAGCTTCATGTCCTCCCCCCCACACACAACAACCATGATGGAAATAAAGGGTTTAGTAAGATGCGGTGCACAACAGGTCCTCTATATGCAGTTCCCTTCTCCAGTTAGTACCTGAATCTGATATATAGGATATTGGTTACTTTGCAACCTAGAAATGAGTGCAGAACATCCTAATTGTTAACATGGAGGTTTTATATATATAATTTTTATGTAATTTGATATTTGTTCATTTTGGAGTCTAGTTGTTAGACCTTTTTTTTTTTTAAGATTTTATTTACGAGACACACAGAGGCAGAGACATAGGCAGAGGGAGAAGCAGGATCACAGCCTGGGCTGAAGGTAGCCGCTCAGCCACTAAGCCACCCAGGTTTCCCTAGTTGTTAGATTATCAGAGAAAAGTCCTGCTGACATGTAAACCTCATATAGTAACTGAATGATAGATGTATTGAGATAATGTAGGTTCTACTAAGAATTTAATTTTTTTTTCCTGACTGCAATTTTTTTTTCCTGGCATCTAGATCCATAAATTATGTCAGTACAGCCATGTCACCAGATTAGACAACAGTGAAAGGAATGAAACTAGGTACTGACAACCTCCTACCTCTGGCCACTCCACGTCACTCTCTGATCCCTCAATGTTCATTTCTTCAGGATTCTGTTTTAGCCTTTCCTTCACTCTGTATACTTTTCCCAGTGGCCTCACCACTTTCATCACTTGAGTAGTAACTACAGTTACATGTTAAGTTTTCTTAAATCTGTATTTCTGGCTGAGACTTATCTTCTGACCTTTAAGATGGCATATCCTTTCTTATTGTTGTTGCTGGACATCTCTAACCAGGATGTCTTTTGGTCAAACCAAGTGTAATATCCCTTGAACTGATTTCAGTATCTTTTACTTTCCAAACCTGCTATATCACAAAAATTTTCTTCATCAGTAAATAGTACCTCTTTTCTCCATTTGTTCAAAGCTAGGTAATTCTGAACTCCCTTTCTTTTATCACTAGATTTCCAGTGAATCTCCAAATCATACACAGGTGCCTGAGCCACTTCTTTCTGTTTTCATTCCTGCTTCTCTTGTCTAAGTGTCACCTCATCTAGACTACTGGGAAAGGCAAAATAGAGCAGCATTAAGAACATAGGAATGAAGTACTGATACATGCCTCAACATGGATGAACCTTGAAAACATGCTAGGTGATAGAAGCGTGAAACAAAAGGTCACCTATTGTATGGTTTGATTTATATGAATGTCCAGAATAGGCAAAATAGATTAGTGATTGCCTAGGGCCCAGAGGTGGATAAATGAGGATCAACTGCTAATGGGTACAGGGATTTCTTTTTGAAACGATGAAAATGTTCTGGGATTAGATAGTGGTGATGGTTGCACAAACTTGTGAATATATTACAAAATTGTAGTAAATTGTATATTTTTAAAAAGGTGAATTTTGTAGTCTGTGGATTATATCTCCAAAAATTTAACATCTCCTATGCTGTCATTTATTTTTTTTTAAGATTTTATTATTTTTTTAAGATTTTATTTATTTGCACGAAAGAGACAGGTGCAGAGGCATGAGCAGGGAACAGCGGCAGAGGGAGAGGAATAAACATACTCCCCGCCAAGCAAGGAGCTACACCCAATATGGAGGTTGAACCCACAACTGAGATCAAGAGGCACATGCTCTATGGACTAAGCCAGCCAGGCACTCCATCCTCATTTAAAATATATGATAAGGGGCACCTGGGTGGCTCAATTAAGCATGTGCCTTTGGCTCAGGTCACAATCCCAGAGTCCTGGGATCAAGCCCCACATCAGGCTCCCTGCTCAGAAAAATTGTACAATCTATCACGTAATTTCAAAAACCTTAACATAATGTCCTCATTTTGACATACATGAGACAAGGAAATTTGTTGTTGTTTTTTTTTTAAGATTTATTTATTCACAATAGAGAGAGAGAGAGGCAGAGACACAGGCAGAGGGAGAAGCAGGCTCTCCATGTCGGGAGCCCGATGCGGGACTGGAACCCGGGACTCCAGGATCATGCCCTGGGCCAAAGGCAGGCGCTAAACTGCTGAGCCACCCAGGGATCCCCGAGAAAAGGAAATTTGACTGCCATCTATGCCATGTAGATTATGCAATGCATAACAGAAGGTGTTACTTATAAGCACTACAAATATGGTGGCCTCATGTATTTCAGTATATAAATGCTTACTCTCCCACTAGAAGAAACTGATGGTTGTGCCTATACATGGAAGCATTATGAATTTAATGGTTTCAAATGTAGACTGATATAGGTGTTTTATTGGTGACTCAAATACTGTCAACAGCTAGCTGAGGTAACAGGAATTTTTAAAATATAAAGGATGATCTTTGTTTTATTTTTTTTTATCTTTGTTTTATATGGTAAATTTAGTGTATATTAGAACTATGCAAAAAATACTTTGTGTCCATATGTGTAATGAAGTTGGGTTCTAGTCTCAGGTGTTAATAGTTTTTCATCTAGAATAATTTCTAATGGAACAAATCTTCCTTTGTAAGATTTTTAACATTCCATGCTTAGGTCTAGGAAAATGTCACCAGTGCACCTCAACTCCAGGCCCAGTTTTGACAGCCAGAAACTTTTTGAGGACTTGATACCATCCCCATTGAGAACTACTGGATTATAAAGACACAAGTAAATGAGCACTATATTCCAGAGAAGGGATGAATTATTCATGGTTTCTTTGGGTCATTTAGACAACTTGGTAAAATGGAATATTTTCTTCTTCTACAAGACTTAGGGAAGACTGAGGAACAGAGCTTTATGGTATCTAAGAACAAGATATTCCTCCTTGAATCTTTTTCTAGTACACAGAAGAAAAAAAAACAGTACATAAAGATATATATATATGTATATGTTTTTTTTTTTTTTTTTTAAGATTTTATTTGACAGAGAGTGAACACAAGCAGGGGCAACAACAGAGGGAGAGGGAGATGCAGACTCCTTGCTGAGCAGGGAACCTGATGCAGGGCTGGATCCAAGGACCCTGGGATCATGACCTAAGCCAAAGGCAGACGCTTAACCAACTGAGCCACCCAGGCACCCCTATTTTGCTTTTTTTCTGGATGACTTCATTAATTTTAAAATGTTGCCGCTTATATATATTGTCAGGATGTTTTGTCTGATAAGCCTGTATCTTTTCACTGCTAGATAGTGATAACTCCTTTCCTTTCCTTTAAGATGCTCTCCAAATCCCTGGTGATGGAATATTTGGCTCATCCTGGTGCACTCAGCTTGGCTGCCGGAGTTGCTTGTGGCATGTGCCTGGGCTGGGGCCTCCGTGTACGCTTTGGGATGATCCCCAAAAGCTCTGTCAGCGAGACAGACACAGAGACTGGAAGTGAAGCAAGCATCTTAAGAGAGAGTGGGGAGTATAAAATGATTCTTGTGGTTCGAAATGACTTAAAGATGGGAAAAGGGAAAGTGGCTGCCCAGTGCTCTCATGCTGCTGTTTCTGCCTACAAGCAAATTCAAAGGAGAAACCCTGAGTTGCTCAAACAATGGGAATACTGTGGCCAGCCCAAAGTGGTGGTCAAAGCCCCTGATGAAGAAACCTTGGTTGAATTATTGACCCATGCGAAAATGCTAGGACTGACTGTAAGTTTAATCCAAGATGCTGGACGTACTCAGATTGCACCAGGCTCTAGAACTGTCTTGGGAATTGGGCCAGGACCAGCAGATCTAATTGACAAAGTCACTGGTCACCTAAAACTTTACTAGGAATTTTGTATGATAGTCCCAACATGATGTGCTTGGAAACTGTTAAATTCTAACAATAAAAGCTGAATTTCTTCCCACACTCAGCTTAAGTATTTTTGAGGTGAAAATCCATTCCCATTTTTTTCTGTCATGTACTTGGCTCACAGTTATCTTGGGCTTAAAAAAAAAAAAAAAGTTGGTTAAGTGATCCCGATGGTTCAAGTGATTGCTGAAATAAAAAATGTTTATGTGAGAAACTGATCACAAGATTGGAATCCAACGGTGGGGGACAGGGGACAGCATTTCCCATGCATAGTTAGGTCCCTATGTATTAAGAGCTCTTCTTCTCCAAGACAGCATTGCTGTACCCTCTTGAAGGATCAGGGGTTCAAGGTATTCCCATTGGATGCAAACTATAATTTGTTTTCCTGCGATCACTTTTTGGAGGACTGATAGCCAATCGTTAATAGATCATGGTATGACCCCACACAGTGGGATTACTGTCTAATCTAGATTTTTCTGTTTCAAGGTTGAGGTTTTATAGCAGTGGATATAACCTACCTGTACAGTACTTCATGTTCATTTCCCTGACCCACATTAGCCAAAGGTTCTCAGCAGTGCTTCTACACCATGGCCTACAAAAATTCCTTTTACTTCCCTCAACTTTCCTAATAGTGAAGGCATTGAAAAACTTGTAAAATGACTTGTAATTGTGAAGTGAATGTAGTATGTCATCCCAACATCCTACAGTTTCTTTACCTAGAATTTAAGGAACCAGATTTAAGAGTACTTTTATTTCCCTTCTGATCTTTATATGCCTATTATTGCAGAATATGGAGGTCCCAGTTCCCAGAAGCTACAGTTTCTTGAATGAAACCTTCTTTCAGAGGGATCCTGACAGTATTTCTAAATCAAGTATATTCCTAAGAACTGGTGGTACCAGGGAGATTTTGGTAACAGGTGCACATTAAGTAGTTCCAGTCCGGAATCCCTGGGTGGCGCAGCGGTTTGGCGCCTGCCTTTGGCCTAGGGCGCGATCCTGGAGACCCAGGATCGAATCCCACGTTGGGCTCCCGGTGCATGGAGCCTGTTTCTCCCTCTGCCTATGTCTCTGCCTCTCTCTCTCTCTATCATAAATAAAAGTTAAAAAAAAATAGTTCCAGTCCTCTGTGTTTAACTTCAACATAAGCAGCACAATAACTCAACTTCCAGGGTCTAAGGTCAGTGGAGTCTGGGCAGAACACTAACGACTACTGCTTCTAATATTTAGTTTTATAGAGTTTATGCTGACATATGACAGCACAGGAGAAATTGCATCTGTGAATGATGCCATGGTAGCAACTGTTTTTAAATAGAAGGTTTATACTAGGTTCAAAAGTGATGCAATAGTATGTAACTGAGATGAAGAGAAGTCAATTGTAAATGTAGGATTCTGGCTCAGGTAATTTCTGAGGCTTGCCTCAGAGAATGATGACTCCCAAGTTCAAAGATGGCACATTCCCAACAGGATGGCCTGCTGTGGCTGACTCAAGTAATTGTAAGAAGTCATGGTATAGCTACTAAGATGAATTGTATACAAATGCTAGTAAATCTGGAAATAGAGTGTGCTTATTTCCTAGTTCACCTATACTTATTTTATTTTACAGGGTGCTTCATCTTACAGTTCTCGGGGTATACTCTGTAGAGCCCGTAGGGTCTTTAAGATACTTGCAAGGGGTCAAAACTATTTTCATAATGCTAAGACACTTTTTTTTTTCTGTGTTGACATTTGTAAAGGTGGATAAAACTGTTAGCACCTTTCACAAATCAAGGCAGGAGCACCCTAACCTATACAAGTAGTACTTCACTGCCCTATACTTACAGTAAAAAACAAAACAAAGTTCACTTAATGTCCTTGATAAAGTAGTAAAAAAGAAGTATTAAATTTGATCCTTATTTGTTTTGATATTCTCTAACATTAAACACTTCTGGTCCAGTACACACTGATGTATGAATGTTGTCTTGAGGAAAAAATGTGTGGCTGAGTTGTGAGCTGAACTGAACTTTGTCATATTAGATTTTTACTTGTAAAAATTGACAAACTAGTTATCCATCCAGACCTGGGTGTTTGGCAGATATTCTGGAAAACTTCTGCCTTTCATCCTAAGTTTCCCAAAACTTAAGATTTTCTGATTTAAAAAAAAAAAAAAAGATTTTCTGGTAAGATCAGTGTTCCTCACAAATTATTTAAAAGATATCTGTCAACATTTAGAAGATCTATTCAACTTAGTGAATCAGTATTTTTCATATAACGAATGCAGGAGGGTACAAATCATGCATGGGTAAAAGATCCATTCAAAGAACACTAATGGATTTTAATATAACATTATAAAAAGTTCACTGTTATGGTTTCAGATTCCACATTTCAACTACTATCCACACATATGCATCTCAAAAGGCTATTAAAATACTCCTTTCCTAATTACATATCTCCATGAGGCTAGACTTTCTTCACATACTTAAAAAAAGGAATATATTGAATACAGAAGCAAAAAGGAGAATCCAGCAGTCTTCTGTGAAGATGAACTTTGAAGAGATTTGCAAAAAAAAAACAGTGCAGTGCCACTCTGTTTTGAGATATATGGTTGATTCATAATTAACATGCAAGGAGTTTTATAGTTATATTTAAGTGATTTTTAAAATTTGTTTTAATTACTAATACAGTAAATATTAACATGTACAATTCCACCTAAACCAGTTTGGGATTGTCAATAATTTTAAGAGTATAAAAGGATACTAAGAAGTTTGAAAACCACTCGTGTGAAAATGTCTACATGACTAAATCAATTTACACAAAATTCAAGCAGCCCTACTACTTGGACATCATGTCTGTTCTTACTATACTATGTTGAAATAGTTAACAAGTATCAGATTTTTTGGTACAATGGCCATATTTCGATACTAGGACAAAAGATCACGGAAAGCATGCTTACTTCCTGAGAAGACTCCCATTAATCTCGCTCCTCTTCCTTCCAGTTTCAGTTAAACTTAGACAATTATAAGAACTCTTAAATAGCCCATTTTGTTTTTAGTTCCTCCTCCCAGACCATCATTCAAAGTAATGTTAGGGAAGACACCTTAAAGTTTATTACCAATTTGTTATACCACTTATTGTATAACACTTTACTGCCAAGTCTTGAGATAGGCATTTTGTGATTTCAACATACTTCTGGCAAATAATTCTGGAAAGTATTCAACATGTTAACATACACAAGAGGGAACATGGTCAGAGGTTCAGCTTGCTCAGGATGTGAATCTATGTCATACACCACAGCAGTTTCTTTTAACTATAGCCCATTACGGGTGGTTTATGTGGCAACTCCGCAACATTGGAGATAGCACGTTAAAGCTGTTTTTCTTAAATTTATAAGAAAACCTTTACTGAATATTTAAAACTTAAGAGATGAATTATTCCATTGGAAAGACAGAAAACAAACCCACAACTGATTCAAAGTACAGGAAAGGTCCAGAAGAATAAATCTTGAATTCTGAAAATGAACCCCCAGCGACCATGGTTATTCTCCCTGGTGATTTTGATTAACAATGAAGGAGGGGACGGGATGAGCACTGGGTGTTATTCTGTATGTTGGTAAACTGAACACCAATAAAAATTAATTTATTAAAAAAAAAAGAAAGATCAAATAAAGCAAATGCATGAGACAGAAGAAAAAAAAAAAAACAATGAAGGAGGGTGGGGGTGGGTGGGTGGGTGGGCAGAGATCCAGCAGAAACAAACAGCCGGATCTTTTCACTATGAGAAACTGAAAAGGAAAAGGGATTTTCCATCTAATACTATAATTTTTGATAGGAAAGTAAGGGATGGGATGATTAAAAGTGGGGAAGGGCAAGGGTTCTAAGTTTAAAAAAGAAGAAGAAAAAAAAGTCTTCCAAAGCAGCTTATGGTCATTTGCTTTATGTAGAGAATTTAAGAGCAATACAAGACACTAGGTAGGGGGCTCTCTAACTCTAGTGAGGATTTTTTTTTTTTTTACTTTTTTTTTTTTGTTTTTATTGAAGTTCAATTTGCCAACATAGAGTGTAACACCCAGTACTCATCCCATCAAGGAGAGAGAAAGGAGCTTCCAGGATAGGCAGAAACTGAAAGAATATGTGACTACCAAACCAGCTCTGCAGGAAATATTAAGGGGGACCCTGTAAAAGAAAGAGGAAGCCCAAAGAAACAATCTACAAAAACAGGGTCAGAACAGATATTACGATGACACTAAATTCATATCTTTCAATAGTTAACTCTGAACGTGAATGAGCTAAATGATCCCATCAAAAGACACAGGGTATCAGACTAGATAAAAAAGCAAGACTCATCTATATGCTGTCTACAAGAGACTTATTTTAGACCTAAGGACACCTCCTGCCTGAAAATGAAGGAGTGGAGAAACATTTATCATTCAAATGGTTCTCAAAAGAAAGCTGGGGTAGCAATCCTCATATCACATAAAGTTTATACCAAAGACTGTAGTAAGAGATGGAGACACTGTATCATACGTAAAGTATATCAATTAATAACAAGGTAAAGAGATACTGAGATAATAATACACTAATAGTAGGAGACTTCAACACTGCACTTTCTGCAAATGACAGATCTTCTAAGCAGAACAATCATCAAAGATACAAGGGCCTTAAATAATACAGTGGACTAAATAGATTTCATAGATATATACAGAATGTTCCATCCAAATGCAACTGAATAGACATTCTTCTCAAGTGCACATGGAACTTTCTCCAGAATAGACCACATCCTGGGTCACAAATCAGGTCTCAACCTATACCAAAGATTGGGACTGTCCCCTGCATATTTTCAGACCATAATGCTTTGACACTAGAACGCAATCCCAAAAAAGAAATTTGGAAGAAACTCAAACACATGGTGGTTAAAGAGCATCCTTCTGGTGAGGATTAACAATGAAATGAACTTAAAGTAACATTATTAGCCATCAACAATAAGGGTTGAATTCAAACACTGGATTAAAAAAGTCAAAGTACCCATAATGTGAGGGCCCTTACTATTCATGGTAAGGGATACATGCTTACATCTTTTTATTTCAAGTTAATATCACATCCACAATCTGTTCATTTAAGTGAAATGCTTATATCAAAACCTAAGGTGCCCTTTGGTTAAAATGATGGGAGACAGCCAAAATGTAGCCCACTACAGTGCTAGTTCTTCAGACTACTGCATGTACCTTGTTAACTACAGAATGCACATGATATAATGCTGTGTTTCTCCATATTCCAGTGCTCATTCTGCTGCTCCTGCCTCACAGTACTCCACCTCAGTATCCAATATGAAACCACTACAACCATGGTTCTTTTGGTTTAAGTTTGAGAGGTATTTAATTAAAACTGCCATTCTACATGTTATTTCCACAGTCCAGTAATTTATTTTAAATTTGAGTAATTTCAAATTCCACAAACAAAACTGAAGAACAGCAATATTTTGTTTGAATTCTCTCTTCTGTACACTCAGTGATCTAAAACACCACAATATCCAACATACACAAACCTCAGGGAAGGGTTAGTAAATACACACAGATTGGAATCATGGTGCTCTGTTCCTGAATGGAATGGTCCCACAGAAAAAGCACAGGATACAGCACAACATAAGGGCACCTGTTACATATGAAGTGAGCAAAAACACACTAGCATTTTCTAGATGCGTAATGAGGAAACCTGCATAGGTTAGAGGGCCTTTTATGCTCATTTAAAAGTCAGGCAAGTTGTCTGTAATGCATTTTTCAAATAATTTGGAGAGCACTGCAATCCACTGTAGGATATGCTGATTAGTGTTGTCTTTGTTGGCATTGACAGTCTTACATGGTCACATACCAATATTTTTGCTGTAGCTTTTGAGTAAAAGAGATTTAAATGCATTTAGACAATACATATCGAAAGCTGTTTACATACACTAAATTTAAGAGATTCAATATTAGAGTCTTTTTTTTCTTTAAACACTACAGAGTGCAAATCAGGTTCTTCACAACAGATTATTAAGCAGTTCTTCAAAGAATGAGGGGGAAGAAAAAAAAGCCCAAGTGAATAAAACATTGAAACTATTCCCCTTTGAAAATAAATTCTAAAATGATGCGGAATGTGAAATAA